TATTTGACAGAGAGAGAGACAGCGAGAGAGGGAACACAAGCAGGGGGAGTGGGAGAGGGAGAAGCAGGCTTCCCGCTGAGCAAGGAGCCCAATGCGAGGCTCAATCCCAGGACCCCGGGATCTTGACCCAGGCCGAAGGCAGATGCTTAACGACTGAGCCACCCAGGCGCCCCAACACATACCATATTAAGTAAGTCATTTAAACTTTGGCATTTTTAATAATGATGTTTTAATATTTACATGAGAATACTGACATTTTGTCTTAATCTATTTATGCTACCTTTGTGAGTCAAAGTTACTAGGATGGCTGCTATCAAAAAACAAAACAAAACAACAACAAAATAACTCCACAGGAAATTATAAGTTTTGGAGGAAATGTAGCCCTTGTGCACTCCTGGTAGGAATGTAAAATGGTGTAGGTGTTATGAAAAACAGTATGGTGGTTCTTTAAAAAATTAATATTAGATTTACCAAATGATTCAGCAAATCCACTCTGGGTATATATATCCAAAAGAATTTAAAGCAGGGTCTCAAAGAGCTATTTGTACACCTGTGTTCACAGCAACGTTATTCCTAAGGGGCAAAAGGTGGAAGCAACCTAAGTGGTAATCAGTGGATGAATGGATAAACATGATGTGGTTGCAATACTGTAATTTATAAGAAATATATATATTTGGTCACCCAGAGGCCCAAAATGTATTCCTCATAATGTATTTGGGCTTTATTTGAGGTTCCTGGCTCACAGCTCTTTCTAAAACCCTTGGAATTTCCTGTGATAAGGGCAATAAAGGTGTCTTTTGTTTTGTTAATAAAGGTGACATTAGGACACCACCCAGGAGCAGGGCCTGGTTGCCAGGAGGACCAACTTGTGATTAAAAGGGTTGGAACTTTCAGTTTAGGAGGGGAGCAGGACTGGAGGTTGAATCAACCAATAGCCATGACTTAGTCAGTCCTGGCTATGAATGAAGCCTCCATAAAAACCCCAAAAGACTGGGTCCTTCGAGCTTCCAGGTTGGTGAACATGTAGAGATTCGGGCTGAGTGGAGAACTCAGAGAGCGTGGATGCTCTTCACCCTTTCGCCATACCTCACCCTATGTATCTTTTCCATCTGGCTGTTGATTTGATCTTAAGCTGGTAAATATAAGTGTTTTCCTGAGTTTTATAAGCCACCCTAGCAAATTAAAAGAACCTAAGGAGGAGGCTGTGCAAGTCAGAAGCCCAGGTAACAACAGCCTGGGGCTTGCACCTGGCATCTGAAATGGGGGCGGGGCAGTCTTGTAGGACTGAACACTTAATCTGTGGAATCTGATGCTATCTCTGGGAAGGTAGTGTCAGAATTGAATTGAATTTTAGACACCCTGGTGGTTGCCTAGAATTGCTTGGTGCTGTGTGGAGGACCTCCCCTATGTTGGAATTGGGTCTGGAAACCCTTAAATGAGTGGTATATACATATATTAGACTATTCAGCCTTCAAAAGGAAGGAAATTCTGATACATGCTACAACATGGATGAATCTTGAGGACATTATGATAAGTGAAATAAATCATCACAAGACAAAGAGTGTATGATTCCACTTATATGAGACATTTAGAGTAGTCACACTGATAGAGACAAAGAGTAGAATTATGTTTGCTGGTGGCTGGAGGAAGGGGGGAAATTGATAGTTGTTTTATGAGTATAGAGTTTCAGTTTTGCAAGATGAAAAGTTCTGGAGATTGCGCAATAATGTGAACATGCTTAACACTACTGAACAGTACACTTAAAAATGATCAAAATGGTAATTTTTATGATTATATATGTGTATATATATTTATATAAATATATAAATTTTTATAAAAATTTATTTATATAAATATAGTTATAAATTATAATAATTATATTTACATAAATATATTACATATTTATATAAATTTTTTATACAAATTTATGTTTATATAAATATATATACATACCTATACACACATATGTGTGTGTATGTGTATATATATATATTTTTTTTTTTTTTTTTTTAAGAGAGGGAGAGAGAGCTAGGGTTGCAGGGTGAGGGGCAGAGGGAGAGAGAGAGAGAATCCCAAGCACGCTCCATGCCCAGTGCAGAGCTCAGTTCGGGGCTAGATCTCACAACACTGAGATCATGACCCGAGCCAAAATCAAGAGTTGAATGTTTAACCAACTGAGCCACCCAGGCACCCCTTATGTTATATATATTTACCACAATTAATAATTATTAAAAATGTAAAAACAATAATTATGAAACAGGTAGGTAAAATATGATTCTATCATAAATTGACATATTTTGCATCCAGAAAATATGTTTGAAATATAATAACTATTATAAATCTCTGTAAAAGATAGTTTGGTTATGAATGTAAAAAATATATATAAAAGAGCAAAGAAAAAATAAACTACACTAACAGCAGCTGTCCTTTTTATGCATTTCATTATTTCTTATTATTTTAAAGTGAAAATTTCATGATTTTATATGATTTAAAAAGAAAAATATTATAAGCATCTTAATGTAATACCTATTCTGTCAGATGATCTAATAGACTAGTGGAGCAATATATATGGAATTCTGAACCTGCTGTCGATTGGACATGTTGGGGAGGAAGAATTTCCTCTACTCTTCAAGGTCCTAGCTGGACTAAGAATCAAATTGATGGGAGAGCAAGTAACAGAACAAAATGAAACTTAATAGCAATAGCATAGATACAGGGAATCCACACAGACATGGAAATCCCAGACAGTGAGGCAACATGAAGCTTATATGAACTAAGGAACAGGGGAAGGGTCTGAGGATACAAAGGAGAGAAAGACCATTAGAAGAAGGTGAAAGGAGAAGTTTGGAAAACAGAGGTTGCCCTTTATGCAGATAAGGTTTTTAGGTAAAGAGGAATCTCTGTTAATAGTTCTCCTAGTACAAGCTGGCAGTTGAAGGGGAGGTATAGAGCTTTTGCTGAATCTGCTGGGTTTTGGTTGCTTTTTACTCAAAATAATGTTCATGCCAAAGTGGCCCATCTTGGGGCAGCCTGCCCTTGTTCACTACAGACACAAGAGTAAATAACTAATTGCAATGACGTGTGAGAAATGGTTTTTAAAAGAGTGTACTTGGCTAAGTTATACATGGGTAAATTATAAATGTCTGTGGAATTCCATATGTTTGTCATGGTAATAGATCCACTCTATCTTGTTAAGTGAGGAAAATGTGTTCCAGAACAGTTAACAGTATATGGTACATTTTTAAGGCAAATATGTATTTGGATAGAACACATATAACATAGATAATATTTATCAATATTTTCTGAAATGATAGTAGTGTATATCTCTACTTTGAAAAAATGATTTTTATAAACATTTTATTTTGACTCTATTGTCAAATTGTTCTACATTTACCTGCTTTACTAAAAAATATACTTTTAAAAAAGAGGAACGTGAACATCAAGACAGTATGATTTTAAAATGCTCAGTTGGGAAGATGATTTATAACATGCTCTACGAAGGAGCTAAGATTTCAGATGGTTGGGATCTGAGTACAGGTTCATCGATCAGTCAAAGAAAGAGAATATTCCTGGCAGAAAAAATCAATGAGGATAAGGACACAGAAGTAGTAGAAGCACATGGTGTGACTAAGGAGGGGTGAAGGATGAATTATGCACTGTGTCTGACGAACAGTTATGAAAGATGAAGTGAGAAATATTGCTGGAAAAGTAGCCTGCAGCGAAATGCCTAACTACCTGAGGTGGGAATTCTTGAGAAACTTCCCTATGAACTGAATAGTGAGAGTTTCCCAAATCCCATTCCCTGGCATCATCTAACACCAAACATTCTAAAACTCTACCAAATTGTCCCTGACTGGGGGATCACCTGGCTTCAGGGTATCCAAGTACCTTATAAGTTACACCCAGCAACTGAAGTCCTATATTTCTATCATTCGAATAAAGGTTATTCATTCAGTCATATTTCATTCGATAAATATTGTGTGCCTACAGTATGCTAAGAATAGTTCAGGTTTATGCTATGAAGAAGGAACTAAAGCAAAACCCTTGCCTTTATGTCAGCTGGGATGCTT